ACGTTCAGAGTTTTCCAAGCAATAAGTATCACAAACATCTTTCAAACGTTGTCAGTTATTTGTTAAAGCAAGCTATAATTGGATATTTTATGTATTTATAGTTGGCGTTTATGATTATACATTACTTATAATTTCACGTTTAATCATTTATCTCTTCTCTTCTTTATAGCACGCTTTTTCATTTTCCACACATTCTTTCAGCTATTTATTTGGCGATCTACTTAACTAGTTGAACTTTTTAATTATTTTCGATCTTTTATCTAATTAATTTTGTATCATAATGGGTTTGTCCCGCAAAATAAATAAATAAATAAATAATACTTGTAGTGCGTGCGTTGCTAATTATAATAATTTCGTAAGAATTTAAACTGTTACGAAATTGTAAATAAGAGGAAACAGATTTCTCAAAATCCTGGAACTATAGAAATGCTAATTACATTAAAAATTAGAATGTAATAATTTAAAAATTTTTAGTCTCTGAGATAAAATTATCTCTAAACTAATATTCAGTACACGTAAAAACTCCTTACACGGCATTAGTAATGTGCGATAATTGTTAAAAAGTAGTAGTTTTCACTCATTATAACATTTACCCAAGATATATTTAAATGTTCAGCATGTATGCGTTTGTACTTCTAACTGTTGATTCTTAATCACCTGAAGCCTTTTTGTATTGAAATTGAATATTTAAAGCTTTAAGTTTTATCTAGACAAAATAATATTTGAAAAAATACATAGTTTAATTTTTATCATTTTAATCGACAGGTTTCCAACCCTAATAATGCACTCGTAATAATGATTTTTTCTAATAACTTCCTTTTCCTCCGAATCTTCTAGAAAAGACAGGAAAAACACTCTTATTCTTTTTATTTTGTTATTTTTCAAAAATAGAGTCCAAAAACATTAGAGGAGGAAAAAAAAAATCTTGGACTTAAAAAAAATTGTGTTGATAAAGTATCGAATGAATGAAATACCTGAAAGTTATGAATTAATAATACAAATATAGATGCAATAATAATTTGTCCAAAATTAATTGTTTTACGACAGTTAAGTGTTCTGATTTTTAGTCGACAGCCCTAGCTTATGTGAGAAAAACAATAAATTCACTATATCCTATATATTGTAATGTTTGACCACTTTTGAGAAAGTATTTGGAAAACGAAAGGTTCAATACAGAATTTTAAAACGTTTTTGTAATAGAATACGAATCAATGTGTTATTCGTCGGCATTGTCAATCATTATTTCGTTGTTTATGTCACAATATTATTTTATTTGCAAATATTTGATATTATTATTTAAAATATAAATTGTACTCTCTTAACCAAGTTTTATTGTATTTGGTTAATGTTAATTTAGTGCACGTTCAAGATTATTTAATGAATTCTATGTACATGTTACCAAGCGAACTTATTTTTAATTCGATATTTTTCTTTTAGATGGTTCAAGCATTTACGAAGGGACCGGTCAAACTTGAATTAAAGGAAGCTGGCAAATTCGAATTGTTTGGTGGTAATATACATGGCGAGTTTGTGGAAATTACCCCTACAACGATCGTGCAAAAATGGCGCTGCAAACAGTGGCCCGATGGCCACTATAGCGAAGTTACTATTGATATATTTGAGAGGAATGACCATACGGAAATCAATTTGACACAAACAGGTGTACCAGTTAGGTAAGAAAAAAGCACAGTTCTTTTGTTTTATGATGTTAATTCAACATTGTTTTCTTAGTTTTTTTTTAACCCTCCGTTACACAAGTCGCGGATTATATGTCCACAAGTTTGTTTTTTCCCCACAAACTAGAGAAAGAGTTACTAGCGTCATGACCTTATGAGCTTCAATATATGCTTAAAAAATATTAAATGATAAAGTAGTGAAAATAAATTTGTTATTAAAAAATAGACAAAAACATTAAGTAGAGAACAAAAATAAATAGAAAAAGAAACAGTTAAACTTTTTAATGGAAGGTTAAAATGATGCATTTCTAACATGAAAAAGCTCAGAACATTTCAACACTCTAATTAATCACTTAAAATCTGTCATTTCATATTACATGATCTAATATATTTCCGTTGTTCGTGAAAGAATTTTTGTTAATTTCTTTCTATACTAAGCAACATTTGCTGTGTATGATAATAACGGATTATATTTACTTGCAGCGAGGAAGAATCGACAAAAGAGAATTGGGAAAGGTATTACTGGGACGCTATAAAACGTACATTTGGATTCGGTTATTTCATGTGATCTATGTATGTTTTAAATTTGGCTTGCTTATTGATAAGTAGAGAAATAATTCAAACGTGTATTGTCGTAAATCGCCTCGCATACCTTTTACGAATTAGCCACGCATAATAATCAGCCACGTACAAACTGTTTTGTCTCTCTGGATGCTAATTACAACAATTCTCATTTTTTCCTTCTCTATCTCTTCTATTTAGTACATTGCATCGTATAAGTGGAACATTGTGTTATGGCTTAAACGTAACTGAAGTATCGTCAATGTGACGCATCTGTATTAATAGTTGTATATGTGAAATAAATCATGTTAGATACTTAAATGGTCGTTTCTTTATTTTCTGTTCGTCATTACACAGACCAGGTACAGAATAGACCTTCCCCCTGGGGTCAGTGTGACGTGTTATGCAGATGACACGTTGGTGCTGGCAACGGGGGAGAATTACGGGATTACGAACTTATCAGGAAGATAATGTTCCGATACATAAAAGCTGAGAAACCACAGCATGGTTTTAAAGATTTAATATTAAATTATTGAAATGGTCTGCATGCTTCTCAGATCAAAATTTAATTGCAAATCTATGGGGTATTATGCTACGGCATATTTATGCAAACAATCGGCAATTTTCAAACATTTCGGAGCTAAAAAACTGCTGTTATTAAAGCATGGAATCAAATTAGTGACTAAATTTTGAAAAATCTAATTAAAAGTATGCACAATAGCATCTTTGACAGGAATGTGAAACTGGCGCCATCTCGTGTTTGGTAACAGGAACACAGAATGTAAACAGAGGTATTAGATAAGAAACGCACTAGTGCGAGGGAAGGATAGAGAGAAAACGTTTGTTATTGGCTAGCGGGTACTTAAGTTCCACCCCGCCACGCGCTAAATCAAGTCGACCAGGGAAAAATCATTAATAACTCATTATTTACGATGAATTTGTGAACTTTTAGGATTGAAGAATTAAGTGTGAACGCTTAGCAACTTTCACATATAGATTTTATTGTATTAAATCCTTGCAGTAATTAGTTATTAACAATTATAACAATCACTACAATTTGGCAGCCTTCGTGGCAAGATTGGGAATAACACAGGACCAAGCCTGTCCCCTTGCCGGGCTCCCAGCCAGAACCTGGACCACGTCCTGCGGACCTGCCCTCTGCACTGCACATACACGAAAGAATGATACTCGCAAACAACTTAAAAAAGGATGGATGGCCTCCACCCTAAAAGCGTCAAGCATCACAATATGACGAAACAAAGTCAGCACTCACCAGAGGAGCTGACAACTTCAACCAAACCGGGACAAACAAGCCGAAACAGAAAACAACTCGAACAACAAAATAAGCTTAGACTTAGTATTAGCATAGCATACAATATATATTTTATGTACAATTTCATAGTCTGTATCAATGACTGTTATGTTTATGTATTTTAGCTTATAAGCCGATTCCGGCTCAAAGTAACTTTTAAAATAAAAAAAAAAAAAACGTAGGAACGCGCGCGGGAGAAATCCTGCAGCGCCACCTTTTTTATGTTACAGGTTGCAGCGACAGTCAAGCAGAAACCTCCACACTGCTCCACGGTGGCAAGACAAAAAATGTTAAACAAGAGTCGAGAAGAAGAGTATTTTATATTTGTACATTTTGTTAAATAATAGTTAAGAAGTTATTGTTATAAAATATATTTAGTAATAACTCCGTACGAAGGCAATCCTCTATCTTCCTGTGTAAGTTGATAAGGTAGATCACATCACGTAACAATTCGCTACAATGAAATTTTCTGTCCTTTCTATCCTTATTCCTTTCTTTGTCTAACTCATTTCTCTAGGGCTATCCTCGTCTATCCGTATTCCTTTCCATGTCTTACTCATTTCTGTATTGCTAAATACCTCTGCGAGTTATCCTTCGTGGTAAGCACAAACTACTAATGGTACATATCACCATATTCCAATAAGAATTACACTAAAAATTAATCACCAAAAAATTCTACATTAATTACTCAAATAGCCTATTACACATTGAACTAGACAAAACATGTTTTTAAATAATAAAAATTATGAAGTTTCAATAACAAAATGACAGACGAGATACAGGATAGACCTAACACCCAATGCATTTTTTTGTCTATAATACATCCGCAGGGTTGAGAATGCCGTTACCATTTTCGTGACACTACCAACGTTACCGATTCAGCATAAAATAAATTTACAACATTTGTAAAAGTTGGAATTAGAACTAAACGTAACTATGAAATTACAAATAAGGTACAGAACAGGATATCACATACTCGTACACGAAGTACAGAATTTTATACTTCTAAATGTATTATATATAGCAGAGCTGCGTAACTTCTTGCTCACGAGTAAATTTCCCCTCCTGAGGTACCCTCGCTAAGCGACTGAGATGATCACGCTCAAGTTACGGCGCCGCGAGAGGACGCGAGGAGTCCTCCTGTAGCGGATTGCTACAGACGTGTTCTATATTATCGGCCCACGCAGGAAATAGGATTAGGTCTTTCTATAGATTCTCTTCACCCTTCGACTGCTTCCGCTCGACTGCCAGTCAACGGCATAATCATTCGCATATACCTTAACTAAACTTCATCTTGATACGCGACTACATGGGCAACCTCGGCGGCGACATCTCGCGGGGACTAATGTCCCTATTAGGTTACTAGGGTCGCACACACACAAATTATGTAATGTTACGTGGCTCATGTGGCGCCCTGTAGTGTTAATGCTGAAGCGCGCTGAATTCAAATTGTGCAGCGGTGTAACCGAAGCTACCAATCAAATTTATCCTTAAATGATCTTATATAGAATTTTTAATTTAATTGAAGATTATTATTATTAAACAAAACATGTTAAAATTGAATAATGAATATCGACAACGCTTGAAGATTCATTTGCTTTTCCTCGCTCAAAGAGTCTAGACGTATTATTTTATAATAAAAAAAATAGTTAAAACATTTCGTTCATTCTTAATCTTACCAAGTTATTTATTGTTCTGTAAAAGATTCAATGTCACATTTTTTCATTCATTAAATTTACTAAACGATCGCGAGCAGAGCGTATTAGCGCTCAGGAGCGATAATTCCCTCAAATTCCCCAAGAAGCCACGCAACTATACAGAACGAAGTAGAGATAGAGAACTATCAATAGCACCATCGATACTATCCATAGCCAATATTATCGAAATCACTATTGATAGTCTTCTACAACTATCGATATTTCCGATAGTTCTTTAAAAAAAAATAAAGAAATCTTAAAATTATCGAAAGAGAGAATTTGTGGATTCCAGTCGTATGATGATGAAGAAAATGTGGCAAAGAATATAAAACTAGTGGTAACACTTGTAACTTGGCAGATCATATAAAAAGATTTCATCCACTAGTTACTCAATTCAAGCATGATACCGACAGTCTCAATTCCAAGCACTTCCTGAAGCAGTGCAAGATCAAGTATAGATCAGTTAGTCCATTTTTTAAAAAAGCACTTGTGTATGAGAATGCATTTAGCTTTAATGATTGCAATCAATTTTCAGCCATTTAATATTGTGAATGATGCTGGATTTAAAAGGTTTGTTTATTTACTTGATCCAAAGTATGTTTTGCCAAGTAAGTACACAATAAGAGAAAATGTTATGCAAACATTATATTCATAAGGTTATGAGAAATTAAGTCAAATATTGAGTGATATTAGTTATATTGCAATAACTACAGATTGTTGGATGTCTATTGTAACAGAATTTTATTTGACAGTAACATGTCACTTTATCAATAATAATTTTGAATTAAAAAGTGCAGTTTTATCAACAAGAAATTTAACAGGAAATCATACTGCATAAAGCATAGCTGATACATTACTTGAAATCTTCGAAAAATAGAATATCAGTGATAAAATAAGTTGGATCGTTATGGACAATGCAACAAGTATGTCCAAAATGTGCAAAATTTTGAAGGAAAAAAAAACATTTGCTAATAGTAACCTTATAGATATCACCAACAAATAGTAATTGCAACAAAGTAGTTTAAATTAACCATAAGCAAAATTCTTCTTAGACTTTACATCCTGTAAAAATAAATACATTTTTGCTGGAAGCAATTATTGCATTTATAATATAGGTATAGATTTGTGTAGTTAAAAATGTATATTTTAAAAGCAAGAAACAGTTTTTTTTTAACAAAACAATTTCTTTTCCATGTAAATAACAATAACAGAATGAGAAATATACTCATACTTTGGATTTTAACTTAAATAAGGTGAAGAGAAATCTACACAAAGACTAAAAAATGTAACTGTATAAAATATAAATATAAATTCTCTTTTGAAAAATGTTTAAGCTTGCTTCTTATTGTTTTTGTTTCTAAAGGATTAACCCTTTTACTGTCATAAAAGCGATCAAATTCTGTTGTAATAAAGAAATTATATTAATAACACCAATATTAGCCATTGCATCCACATTAAATTTACTTCACATGTCTGTCAACAATTATAAATTAAAGTTTTCTATAGTGTTGGCAACACATGCTACTAAAGTAATTATTGTGTTAATAATTAATAATAACACTATGGACCAATGTCACCTAAGTAAATGTTAGTTCAATGAAAGAGATAAAAATGTGCAATATGATAGTATTATCTACTTTCATCAAATATAATTAAAATCTATTTACATTTTATCATACATTTTCTCAAAAAATATAAATATAACTTGTACGTACATTATAAATATATATCAGCGTATAAAAACCTCTATTCACTGTAATAACTTTCAATACCATTCATTCACATTCTCAACTTTAAATAATAAATTTTTCATATTTCACATAAACCTTAGCAATTTAAATAATTTTTGATAAGTTTTATTACGACATGTATAATAATTGCAATCCATATTTAATAAATAGATATAGACATATAAATGATTACATTGTCACTATAACTGGTGTAGGTTATAGCAAAAAAGTAACCTTCAGGTGAATCAGTATTACTTGTTCAAGTTATGATATAAAACAATATTTGTATAGTTATTACCTTATAACAGTGATATGAATTCCTTAATGCAAACAATTTGACACAATATCGTGATGCAAACAGTGTTGCAAACAAATATTCAAATAAATTGCTTGCACCTGTAACTGTCTTTAAACGTTACATTTTGAAAGAGATAATTCTCTATAGTTATACCAAATTTAAAACCAAATTTTATGAAGAAAACTTTAAACAATTGTGGAGGCGTTGTTGGGGAGCAGTGAATTTCCCTGGAACGGTCCCAATAACAATAAGTGCCGTTTACACAGCTTAAACTTTATTCACTATATTCATTAATTAAAAAAAAAAAACAAATGCTACACACAAAATAAATATTATTTATACACTTAGTAGCTAAAACTTAATAATACACTAAGCTAAACTAACTAAAATATATGTACCAAACAATTAACAGTGACTGTGAGTAAAAACAGTTACAAAAAATGCTACAATCGTGAATGGACCCTTTCCTGATGACACTAGAAAAACGTTCTACTCCGAAAACAGAGGTCGCGGAACGACTGACCAGAAGTAGAGGTCGCCACACAATATATTAGTATCTTTACATAACAACTAATAAAAATTTGTGTATTAATATTTTAAA